CACAGTAACACGTCAAACCAAGTCGTGCTTGCCTACTATATTTAAAGGAAAATGTTTGAATTATTTTTTTGTTGGTTTAGCAAAGTTTGTCAAAGTTGGCGAAAGGTAGATATAAAATCGACCAAAAAGTTTGTCAAATGTGTGCTGGAGGCAACCCATTCCTAAGTCTTTCTCAAATTCTCACCAACTCTTTCCTGTTGTGTTACCAGATAACTCTACGTCGTTTTTCTTTCAACCATGCACCAACAAAAATATTTTGGTTTTATGACAATGACTCGGCATGTAAAATTATAGGGTTACAGGCTTACAGCTGCAACGTGGATATTTTAGTGGTCAAAATCACACTTAAATCAAAATTGATTCCAATGGTCTTGACAAATACCTAATAAAAGAAATTAAGCTTTTGTGGAAGAAATGAATGATGCCTTGAGAATTAAATGTTGGCAATTTTTTCTCCTCAGGGTGATTGGATATGAATTATGGACCATGCATTTTTCGTTGGTTGATGAGTTTTGGTATGGACCGTAAATATGAAACTTGGATGGATGGTTATGATGCTAGCACCCTATCAATATCTTCTTGTCATTGGCGCGCACGGTTCTAGCTATGGTCTAGTTTTAACAAGTAATAGATGCATCTTTTGGCAATATTATCTTCTTGCTTCACAATGTTTTAGTTTTTTCTTAGAGATAAGTTAATGGTAGCAGAACTCAATCTCACAATGTAATACATCATGGGTGTGATAGTTTACCATACTATCTCCTATAGATGTTATATGATACATTTTTAATGTAGACAATTAAATTATATGCCAGACTTTTAGTAAAAAAGCTTTAATCTTTCTGTAAAGAGTAACGTTGTTTTTTTATAAACCAGCTCAAATTTGAGTATACAATAGTCTTATTATCAAATAAGAAAATTTGATTGATTAGCATTCTATGTGCAAGGTAAACCTTATTATACATTTTAGACCCTTTGTCACCTATAGCATTTTGAATTAAAATACATGTATTATTTCAATTTATCTGTGCTCAATAATTTTGTGGTTATCATATTTTAATATATTTTAGATGCAGTATTAAAAGTCAAAAAAATTAGTAATAATATTCAAAAGATCAATAAAACTAATTCTCGAAAAAAACCAACACCAAGGACTATAGAACCGAATCAAGCAAGTAGAGTCGAATTGGAATAAATGCTGATTTGTATTCTTTTGTATTTTCCGTGGCAAGGCCAGACCATAGCGTACGGGGACCAGATCTTTTAGCCATACTATCGTACGCGTTTGTAGTATTATGGTATGTTCAGATTTTTCGAAGTCATCCAACAATTAGTTATGAGTGTGAAAGTGATTGAAGCAGGAGTCTATGTGAACCAGTTTTATCACATTCACCTCATTAGACTGCTAGTTTGACTATTTCGATTTGTGTGTACATTTATGCTAGTAAACTTCTGCTAATGTAATGTGATTTCTTCATCCAGTTTTGATGCTGTTTAGTACGTACAGTGCTGTTTAGTACGTCACAATGTTCCTTAGGAAAAGTTTTGGGCCGAGACTTGAATTTCGGCTTAGAATATGGCTTTTCAACACCCAACCGCAGATCCAAATGTAACAAACAATGACCCAGAAAGCAGAAAAAAAAAATCAAGATAAGTTCCAGTATTCAGATGGAGAAAGAAGAGAGCATTGACCTTCCAAACTCAATAAGTCATGTAACAGGTCTAATGACAAAATAATGGCTACCCTACAAAGGGTGTTTCCAGTAATCGGTGAGTATCATCAGATATGAGTTGTAATAAAAACTCCATTATTGCTTCTTTTCTCCTTCACGTTTTCTATGTACTTAGTGACCACACAAAATAATTGTCCCCTTCTTAAGATGTTATAGCCTCTGTCTCATAATATCATTTATTCTGTCTGTATCTCTAAGATTATTCACGAATAGGGTGTGGATACAGAGAGGCTATACCATACTACTCATGTCGAAATAAACCATCACCTTGAAATTAATGAAACTGCTGTGATGATTTTAGATTGTGACTTGTAAGATAAGTAACTATTAAGCTCAAGGCCATGAACGATTGCTCATTTCAGCTATTCTCTGAGTCGCAATAAGTTGCAAGTCACAAATCCATAAACTCACAATCCATACCAATTACTAACCTCCACCAAAATCCATTACCCGATTTATCTAACACTATCATTTCTCTGTTCAGTGTTCACTCATCACTGTAACACCAAGGAGGTCTCCGAATATTAACGAACTATCAATTTACTCGGATTGATTCAAATTTCTGTGAATGAATATAATCATTACACTGATAAACAAAAAAACCCGAATTTTTTTAAACAGTATACTCGTTTTTATTTCATGTTTTGTTTTACCTTTGAGAGGCTAAAGTTCATCTAGTTAGCCAATTCCGTCTCCTTGACGAACCTGAACTGAACATAGACAACGACGACCTGCTCCTACTAGTTACCCTTGATCTCGACCCGGACCCGGATGCTATGGATCCAGCTGACCCACTAAAACACCCAAACAGTCTCATGATCCGACCCGCAAACCCTCCTCCTCCTCTCTCTCTACCACCTCCTCCTCTTCTCGAACCCAACGGAAGCCTCTCTTCCCCCATTCTCCCACCGTCTACCTCCGTGTACACAACCGGCATCACTCTATCTCCTCCCGGAATCCTCCCCACCGCAAATCCTCCCCCCGGTAACCTCCATATCGTCAACCCCGCCGCAAAATCCTCCTCCTCCTGTTCACCTACTACTCCATCACCACCACCACCACCACCACTATCACTCCCCTCGTCTGCCGGCAGCTCATGCCGGCAGACGGGGCAGGAGTTTCTAATAGCTAACCAAGGGAGAATACAATCAGGATGATAGACATGACTACAAGGCATCTCTCTAACCACAGATTTCATCTCGAAATTCTCTTTACAAACAGCGCAATGAGACTGACAATCCGACTCCAGATGATCCCGCCCGATCTCGACCTCAGGCAAACCTTCGACCGCCGATTTAGAAGCGGGAGGATGATCACACAAGCTAATACTACTACTGTGAAAGCCGTTCCGATTCGCGTTGAGTTCGATCCGAGAGATCTGATCCAGCAGCCGATCGAACCCGGAGCCTAAGAGAAACTCCGTCATGCTCGGGGGTAACGGTCTGAGGCCCGAGTCGTCGTAGTACATCTGGAAAGAGGATCGGTCGGAGGCGCCGCGGAGGAGGATTACGGGATTCGGGGAGTGGTTGGTGGGCGCGTGAGGGAAGCGCGTGGGGGTTGGTGTGAAATGGGGGGATTGGTGGATGTGTTCGAGGAAGCCTCCGTTGCAGTCGGGGCAGGAGAGGGAGTCGGAGATCCAGACGAAGCGGTTGCAGCTGTAGCACCAGTAAGATCCAGACGCCATGAGGAGATTTTGGAATCGAATTTTTGAGGAGGAGAAGAGGAGAGGGGATGGAAGGGGATGGAGGTGGTTTTTGTGTTAACAAGATGAAGACAGAATTGGCCTACACCCAACCGTTCAATTCGTTTTGCTGTCTTCTTATCTTGTGTAACTTTTTTTTTTTTAATATACAAACTGTTATTGCCAAAAGAAAACGGGTTATTAAAAGAGTGAATTAGTTTGACAAAAAAAAAAGAGTTAATTAAAAGCTTTTTGCAAAACTGAATTAAAATCTTACAGTTATGGAAATGAAATAAAATGATGGGTTTTAGGTTTTTAGTTTAAACTCGTAAATAAATCTTAGGGTTTTATTTCATAATTTAATGAGAGACTAATGATAGCTCTCCAAATGTGTTATATGGATTTCATATTTAATACTATGTTTCTAAAAGATATATATTCTAAATTTTTCATAAATATTACTCCCTTTGTTTCGAATTAATTGTTATTCTGGAAAAAAAAAATTCGTTTCAAAATAAGTGTCGTTTTCAAGTTTCGAGACAAAATTTATTAGTATTATATGATATTCTATTTTTCTATTGGTGGAAAAATGGTTAGGTGTATAGGTAACTGTGTTTTTTTTTTCTTGAAAATATGTAAAATTAAATATTTTCTTAATCTGTGTGCAAAAACGTAGAATGACAATTAAAATAAAACGGAGGAAGTAAAACTCATTAAATTTTGATTGTAAATGCATTGTTTTTTGTGAATAACAATTTTCCACAACTTTTAACCAACAGAAATTCAATAAACACCACTAGGTTTTTTTGAAATTTACAATTTTTCATTAAATCATTTTTTGAAAAGATAAAAAATGCATCTTTCTGAAACATTTTTTTCTATAATATTCATTTTTTAGGAATGGAAAGAGTATATTTGTTATTCTTTTTATTTGGAGTATGTATTATATTAGCCCCAAAAAAGAAATATATCTCATATTTACATAGCTTTCTATAATTTTCTTTTTGATTTATCATAAGATTCGGGTCGAATCTCTAATCTTTTTTCAGATCCAAAACTATAGCATGTAATTAACATGTAATAATTTTATTTCTACATGTAATTTAATCTAAATCTAGGTTCATTTTAATATAAAATTATTAATTTTAAAATATATAGAATGATTTATAGTTTGATAAAAAGTTGAAATGCTTTTTTAATTGAAGTAATAAAAAGGAAACAATCTCTTTTGGGTTTCTCCAGTAATAATACAAATAAGGAAGCTCAGTTTAGTTAAAAGAGAGATGAAAGCCCATTAAAACTTCTCAATCCCTAAAAGGTTTCTTCCAATTTCGCAACTACGCTTCGCTCTTCTCCTTCACAACATCTCCCTCCTTCCTTCCTTGCAGCTTCTCTGAATTTCCTATATTCCTAATCTGAACATTCTTCCTATATTCCTAATCTGAAGATTCTTCCTTCCAATTTTGTGGGCCGTTTTGATCATTTTCAGGTACGCTTTGCTCTTCTCCTTCTCTCAATTTCTGTTAGTAATCTGGAGATTACTCGGATGAGAATTAGCCGACATCTCGTTGTTGTGCTTATCGAAATATAATTGATGAGCTTTGTGTGTGTGTTTTACGCATTAGATCCGTATTCAATTTTTAGTTACAATCAATCTCACTTCTTCTCATTACCAGAGAATCTCTTCTGTTTTGTTCTTAGATAACAACAATAAAGAAAACATGGGAGCTACGAAACTTTCGGGGATGCAAAAGCAAGTCCTGAGTCTATACAGAGGATTCCTAAGAGCAGCTCGTTCAAAGCCAGCAACTGAAGACAGGAAGAGGATAGAGATGATTGTCTCAACGGAGTTTCGCAAGAACTCTAAGGAGGTTGACCGTAAGAATTTCCAGTACATTGAGTATTTGCTTAGGTTAGGGCATAAACAACTTGATCAACTCAAAAGTCCTGATATGGTTTCCATCTCCTCTGTCAAGATCAACTAGTCTCAGTCTTATTATGCATCCCAGGTTATATCTCAAGTGATCATATTGTTATGTAGGATCATAATAGATAAAAACAAAGAGATGAAACTGTTTCCATTTTTCCTCTAAAGTTTCTTAACATTGGTTAATATGTTGTATGATAATGCATAACTTGAATGACTGTTTCAAGTTCCATTTATTAATAAAAGAGGTGATTACAATTGGAATATATATAGATGAGTTTGGAGATTTGCGAACATTCAACTTGAGAAGATATGTATATCTATGCCCTTTACCTGTTTAGTAGAGTGGCACTGTTGTTTACTAGTCGTTCTGACCTTCAATGCGATCGCTAGACTCAGCCTATTGTTCGTTTTTTTTCTCTCGTGGTTTAGGGTACTTGCAGATTATAGCGGTATGTAAACAGAAGGTGTAGTGGTTCTTACTGATACAAAAGAATTGCATAATGAGATTTATACTAATCTCAATGATAATCAAAATTCTGATCAAAAGATTAAATGACTTTGATACGTTAGCTAATTTAGTGTCTTTCCGGTTATTAAGGATTCTTGATTATTCCGTTTCTGGATGTTAGCAATGTACAACAGCCAAACATGATCAGTTTCTTGGGATCATGGGAAATTCATGGCTGAATAGTTTTATCTATAATGCACTACGCATTATAGAGGAATAAGAAGCATGAAGTAGCAAAAAAAAAAAGTTGAGAAATGGTTTATGATAAAAGGGCAACTGTAATATATGAATGTTTGCACATAATCATAAAAACAAAGTGTAACAAAAGATGATAGGAACTACCAATCCACAATTACACAAAAGTAGAAGGAAAAAAAAAACAGCAGATTTAATTATAAGTAGGAGAAAAGTTCGTCACTTTTAGCCGTTGGATCAAAGTTTTCTGGCCGCAGGATCAGTAACACCCTTCAGGAACAGGCAAATTCACTTACTGTGCACTTTTACCTGCAACGCAAGTTACACAGTGAATCCCTAATTCCTTTTTTCCCCTAGTAGATTAAAAAAACAACAAAACACAAAATGAGTTGGGACCTTAGGCTTGAGCAGCAGGGGTTTGACCGAAGAAAGTTCCACGGCCAATAGCGTCAGCGTTTGCGTCTCCCAACGCAGCCTCGTTAAGGTATTGGTCAGCAAGTTGGACTCTCTTGACGTTCTCTTGTTCCATCACAAGCATGTTACCATACTCCATAAGCTTCTGAAGAGTCATCTCCGGTTGCTCGAACACTGGAGGAGCTTCCTTTGAGTTCACCAGCCTCTTACTGATCTTCTCCACTCCTAGTCCCTCCACGAACTTCCTCACTTCATCATCGTACACTCTCGCCCTCAATGCACCAAAGAAATCTAGAAAATCAAGAAAATCAAGAATCAGAAACACCAACAAGAAAACAAGTACTCATGATGTTCTTTTTATTACCGATGGATTGGCCAGGGAACTGGTCAACAAGAGTGACAATGTCCTCGTCAATGATCTTGTCAGTCCTGAAGATACCCTTGCACACACCGATACGGTCATCACGGGTTGGTGCCCAGTAGAACTTCTCCATACGTCCATCACGGATGAGAGGAGCGTAGAGAGTGGAGAAATCGTTACCAGTGACAATGATGGGGACACGTGCGTTGTCTTCTTTGTTGTACATTCCTGGGAGCTGGACGTTGGTGGGGTTATCAGCGATGTTCATGAGCGTTGCGTTAACCATCTGGTTGTTGACAGTGTACTGAGTAGTACCACCCATACGACCAGCACCAGCGTCAAGATCGTTGATGAAGAGACAACACATCTTTCCTTTCTTGATCAGGTCTGCTGCTTCACGGTACCTTTGACGGATAAGCTTGGCTGGTTCTCCTGCGTTTCCACTCTCAAGCTCTCCAGCACTCATCATGATTGGGCTGCAAAGATATATAATTTTTAATAATTTTTTTTGTTGATTATATTTCGAACTAAGACAGTGACAGGGCGGATTTAGACACAGCCGGATGGAACATTTGCATTAGACCCAAATTTTAAAAGAATTATTATACATAAGTTTTATGGTCTTCGAATTATCAATTTTTTTAATCAAAATTAACCTAAAAATCTTTATGGCCCCTTAAATCTCAGATCCGTCCTTATAGTGGGGTCGGAGATGGACTTACTTGATGCCCATCTTGGCCATGACAAGCTCACACTGGAAGGATTTACCTTGACCTTTGCCTCCCCAAATACCCAAAATAAGTGGAACCTATAAAATAACAGAGCATTTTAAGATAATCTTTGATGTGTAATAACCCAAATATGCACCAAAAGAATAGTTACCTTGATGTTAGGCAAGGTCAAGAAGTTCTTGGTGATGTGAACAACAAGCTTGTCCATGAAAGCAGGAGCAATGTAAAAACCATCCATCATGTTGTCCAAGTTGTACCTATTATGAATAATAAAAAAAAACAATTTAAATCTAAATCTATAGAATATTAACTAATGAGAGATCTAGAGAGATGAAAACTTACTGCCTGAGACCTTGGCTGATGTATTCATAGGAGCTAAGGACGGCGTGGTGGGTTCCAGTTCCCATGGGAGCTTGGAAGACTGAGTCAACCAATCCTTTGCCTCTGGTGATGTCTTGTTGATCATCAGATATGTCGTAGGCAAGTCCCTTCCACCTGTCTCCATCGGTTTGTTTGTCTTCTTTCACAGCAACCACCTTGAATGATCCGTTGCTCTTCTTGTTGTTCTGTGCGAATCTCGACGCGGTCACAACTTTCTTTCCCAAGAAGGTTGTAGCTGGGGCTGAAGCAGCTCCTGCTCCTGACCCGTTCAAACTCAACTGCAACACACATATGCCAAAGTCATTTTTAAAATTAAACTTTGGTTCATGGTTCAAGAGCCGGTTTAGAGATGTTTAATTAGAATAAACTGAATCCACTCTAACCAAAACAAACCGGGTTTAGAGTCATAACCGATCCTGAGATTTTACTGGCTATAAACATTTTTGTATAACTTAATTTTTTAAAAAAAATTAATTAATTTGGGAACTCTATCTATGTATATTTATGAACCAATTGTTTCATCCGGTTATGTTAGACATATAATCTCAAAATAATGCAAAGGATCAGAATCTTGATCTTAATCTTGATATGGAATATCAAAGCTACTCAAGTGAATAAGACATGTCTATAAGATAGTGTTATAAGTAATAGTACCGGAGCTCTGTTGATGGAACCGACGGTGGAAACTGCTGCGGCCATTTCTCACGAGTGTGCTTCACGCAAGAAGCTGAGGAGAGAGGAGAATTTGATAAGAGAAGAAGAAGCAGTGATAAAAAGATGTTGTTGTGGGCAAGATATATAAACCAAGTAATCAACATAAGAATTCGTTATCTCTTTCTTAACTCTCTGATCGCCACACGATGCGGATTGGCCAAGTAGACTAGAGTAAGATGATGAGGAGGATTCTCACTTGATTGGTCCACGTGGCATGTGTTTATGAGGTTGTCATGAAATGGCTCGAATGTGTTACTGCGAGTATGAGATAGCCGTTCATATGTGATCATGAAGATTTATTCATACAATAAAATTCCAAAGTTATGATAATGACATTAATTTAGTGATAATATTGCTCTATATAGACGGTGTTAAGTGATTGGTCTACAGAAATTGTAAAACAGCCAATACTTATATTTCTAGTTTTATCACCAAACCAAAGAAATACCATATATATAAAATCCATATGGAACTAAATGTGGTTCTGCTTATAACCACTAACAAGTAACAACTAAACTAACAATTGTTGCTGTTATTGATTTTTTAAACTACTTTGTTCCATGAACATTAATTATATAATATAAAAACAGCAAATACAAATGAAAAATCTTACACAACGCTAGCTATAAACACCATATCATCTACAAATGTAATTAAATCATATACTAAAGATACTTTCACATAAGATCGAAAAGCGAAATAAAAAATAATAAAAAATATCATAATAGTCTTCATGTGAAACACCATTCTATAGTGTTTTCAGAAGAAGAATTTTAAACTCCACGACGCCACAAAAGTGAAACATTCTCATCTTTATGATAGTTTAGATTGAAGACTACAATTTTGTTGGTTTGAAGATTGAAACTCACATAATTCCTTCTACATTATTGAATCACTTCAAAAACATTTTCATTGTTTTTACTTGTTCTCTGTTAGCTTCCAAGCCGATAGCTCAACAAAACGAAGTGAATAATGATTTTAATTAATTGTTTAGACACTATATCCACTTAAATATCTCATTACTTACTAGTATAATGAATTTTGACTTTAGTTGATATTTATAATCTCTCATTTATGATACATTGCATCTACTTAATATATAATATTTTACATATTTTCTTTAAAACTAAGTTCAATAACATAGATTTTGCTTTGTTTTTTTTTTTTTTTTGTCAACAGATTTTGCTTTGTTATTACGAGTTTATACTTGCAATCTAGAATTATAATCCTTGAATCTTATGTATTAAATTTATATATGGATAATGTTATATTATTATGTGTTTCATATACTTTTAAGGCTAATGCTCATTTACAAAATTGTAAACACCAAGTTGACCATTAAATTGATGCCAAACATTTACCATAAATCCATTGTGCTATAATGTCTCAAATTTCATGTAATTGTATGGTGAAGTAAGAATCATACAAAATAAAAATGAGGATTGTCAAACCTTTTTGACATAATATGTTAATAGATTCATAATGTTGACATAAACTTATACTTAGTGTTTTGGTTACAACATTCAATACAAATAGTTTGATAATATTATTTCATGCTAACTTTTGCTATATGTGTCGATAATGGCTTTAATTTGATTTTACAAATTTTAAGTTTCTGGTGAAAATACTATCAAATTGCATATATTTCCTCCGAACAAAATTACATAGATTATATCTCACTTAGTTTTCAGTATATGTACAATTGGTGCACCTTCATTCACAATACATCATAATTTTTAACTTGGAGCATTTGCAACTTATCAGAAATAACTTAACTAAATATCCCTTTCACAAAATGAAAAAAAAACTAACTAATGGCTAACATATATAAGTTTTTATCTCAGGTTGATACTACTGAATGAAGAAATTTGTAAATTAGATTAACTAACCAACAGATGAACATAAGTTTTATGGAATTTGAAACAGATTCAAATAAAACAACTACAACCTATTTGCTTTGCCATTTAAAAAACAACTCAAACACAAAACAATTTGATTTTCCAGCATGGTTTTCAAGCCATGGATATGAATTTTCTAGCATAATTTGATCATGGTAAAAAAGTTTGGATTTTCGTTCCATTGATTTGTATAAATTTGTGATAAGTTTCGATCGATCATGTTGATTTAGATTTGGAGATAATTCATTTGAATTTGTGATAATATATCAATTGATTAAGTGGATTTACGATAAGGTTTGACTGATTATAAGGATTTGTGATAATGTTTTGACAGATAAAAATTTGTGATAAAATTTTGATCGGTTATAATGTTTTGTGATTAGTGTTAAAGTTTTGATTGATCAAGACATTTGATTTAGATTTCAGATAATATTTCGATCTATCATAAATTTTTTCTTATGTTATGTTTAGGTGTGAATAACAAATAGATTTAAAAATTATATTATATTTCAAATCTTACTTTTTCTAATAAAAATACTTTTTGCGTTTATCTATTCTATTTATTTAACCACTATTATTTAAATGGTGAATTTAGTGATAATCAAAAACAATTTATATACACTTTTAAGTTATTAATTTAAAAAAAAAATTGTGATAACATAAAACAAACGAAATAACCTTTGATATTTTCTAAAACATATACTGTGATTAAATCTATATAATAATGATTCACTTTTGAAATATTTGGAGTAATCACTTTTTTGTTGGCTATCCACGTCAGCAGCCGAGTGGGCCCCGCACATGGGAAACTAAAAGATATAAAATATGTAAGATTGATTATTATTGATGAAAGACGAAATGGCCCAGTGGTGTGATGACGAGAAGTTTGATCCACAAGAACACGGGTTCGAAGCGCACGCAGTGCATGCTATTTTTTTGGTTTCATTGGGCCTTTTTGTTTGTATTTTGGGCTGCAGGGGTTTAATTGGGCTTTTTCGGTTTGATACCCAATAGCCTAGGTTTTCTCAGATGCCGACTCCAGACGTTTCCCCTTCCGACAAGCAATTTCACTTGCTATCTAGATCCTTTGATGCCCTTCAATGGTGTCCCTCAAATTTCATTATTACCGTAACCGTTCTTACTATCATCATACCGTATAATAGTTCACTTTTGAGGCTACTCAGCGCGTCACGTCAGCAGTTTTGTGGGTCTCGTAGGTATTTTTTAAACACCCATAAATTTGGTAAGATGATCACAAACAATGAAATACACTTTAGTCAAGTGGTATAAGGTGTTTAATTAAGTATGCAAGATTGTGGGTTCAAACCATGCAGCTATCATGTATTTTTGATTTTTTTTATTTGGGTTATTATCATATGGGCTTTTTGTTTATAAGGTTTTTATGTTTTTTAGGCTTATTGTTTTAAAGATCAAAATAGTTGGATAAACCCTAAATCTTAACAAATTCAAACCCAAAATAGTTAAAAATGAATCCAAAACGAACAATAAAAAAAAAACAAGTCTCACGCGGTTGCCTACGCGGATGGCTTAAAGAGTCTTAAAACTATTCTATTATAATATAGCTCAAGCTAAAAATAATAAAAAATAAATCCAAAAAAAAAAGTGAATTCCACGCGGCTGCCTACGTGGATGGCTTAATATAGATTAAGAGCTCAAAAAGTTAAATCATTGCGCATATTTTCTAATATATATTTTCAAAAAATTTGTATGTGAAATAAAAAAAACAAAAATTAATTATTATCGTTATTTATTAAATGAATATGTAATTTCTCTTACATTTTAATAACTACTATAATTTCATTAAAAACGTTCCTCACCACCGATTTCAGACTCCGGCGAATGGATTCCCATAGTCGATGATGCCGTAGATAAAAATGCCACATCATTTATGAACAAAACTCAAACTTAAAAAAAACATGTAGAAAAAACCTATCTAATGAAACTTAATCAACGAATATTAACTTAATTAAAGTTATTTTCAAAATGATAAATCGTTTAATACAAGTATAAATACTATAAATATAGAATTATATCAAGTTTTGATCTACGATATAAAAACTATTTACAGCAAAAAAAACACACACCTACTTTTACACACTAAAAACTATATTATAGCCTAACTATTCCTATAAACCTTACTTCACATATAAATAATATTTAACACATTCCTACTATATTTTCAAAAAATTTGTATGTGAAATAAAATAAAATAAACAACAAAATTTAAGTATTTTTCGTTATTTATTAAATGAATATGTAATTTCTCTTACATTTTAATAACTACTATAATTTCTTTGAAAACATTTCTCAACACTGACTCCAGACTTCGGCGAATGGATTCCCACAGTGGATGACTCCATAGATAACAATGCCACATCATTTATGAACAAAACCTAAACTTACAAAAACATATATAAAAACCTATCTAATGAAACTTAAACAACAAATATTAACTTAATTAAGGTTATTTACAAATTGATAAATATTTTAATACAAATATAAACACTATGTATATAGCATCATACCAAGTTTTGACATACAATATAAAAACTATTTACTGTAAAAAAAATAGACACCTACTTTTACACACTAAAAACTATATTATAGCATAACTATTCCTATAAACCTTACTTCACATATAAATAACATTTAACACATTAGATATACAATATTTTCACTTTACACTCTTACTACCTTCTTTCTATTTCATTATTATTTGGTGTCATTAGAAGAATCCACTAAACCAACAATCGAAAAAAATAGACGCAAACATAATGATCTCGGCCCCGCGCTTGCGCTGGGGATATGCAACTAGTAATCATAAAAGTTCAGCCTCATATGTGGTAACATCTTTATATATGGAAAACATTGTTGAAAAAAATATATGCTATATATAAAAATAGCAATTCTCTTAAATACATTTTTTTTTAATTTTTTATCACAAAATAGACCTCGAAAAGTAAAATGACCAAAATAACATTTTTTATTTTGAAAATTTTAATTTTTTAAAAAAAATTTCAAATCCTATCATCAGAATCTCAGTGCTCGACTCTAAACAAAAAAAAAATCTATAATTAGTTAACATAAAGGGTATAAATGTATATTTACTTATTTTTTTATAAAACATTTAAGTCTATTTTATTTTCAAAATCTATATTTGTGACAAAACTTTTTAGATCTATCCTAAGAATTTCTCTAAAAAAATATATGCCAAACATTGAAACTATCTTTTAACTACACACCATCGACAAATTCCCATCCAAAAATAATCTAAACATCACTTTACTTTCTCTTGTTTTATACTTTTATCACTATTTTGTATTTGTATTGAAAGAAATCAAGTTCTTAAACTAATCTTCTTGAACTTTTAATGCAGTTGTTATTGGCATCCCAAGAAGGATGGTTAGACACCGATGACATGTTGGTTCTCTTCCAACATCGTCACTTATTTCCCTTATCAATTTTCATCTTTCATGAATAGAGAATATATCTCCTCCAGAGTAGAAAGTTCTCCAATAACCATGAATGGATAGATTTCCCCAATAGTCGTTGTCTTCAATATAGAAGAATACATGGTGCACTCGTCCACTCTAACAATTCCTTTGCACAGAGTCATAAACTACATAGAAGAACCATCCGGAATCGTCACATGTAAGAGCTATTATGTTTGCATTTTGATGTAGCTTCCTTACTCTAAATTTTTGTTTCTTTTGATTCGTTCAGGTTCATTAATGGTGGGAATACTTTTGTTCACTATGAGAAGTTGATGATGGGGCTAAATCTACTTTTATCACTATTTTGTATTTGATAATTTAATCATTGATCATGTTAGAAATACAGTGAAACTTTTAAAAATTAATAATGTCGAAACAACACCAAAACTATAATTTTTTTTTAATTTATCGATATACTAATTGAACTAAAAAATCAATTTGAGATTATAAAATTATATTATTTTATAGGAATTTTTAGTATATATTAATTTATAGAGTATTAATTTAAAGAATTTATAGTGTAAGTACATCCTTCACTTTAATAAATAAAGAATCTAATCCGAAAAGAAGAAAAAAGAAATTTCAGATTAAAAAGCAAAAGTGAAAAACATAAACCTTCGGTAAGAGGAAGAGACTTTTGGTCGTGTGTAATACAAAGACTAAACCTTCCTTAGGAGTTAAGAGGAGCGACTTTTGATTGTCTCCTCTCAGTGCATCTGCTAAAATCTCAAAGAGTAATCTCAGTACGGACTCTCTGATTCGAGGGTGAGAGTGGTAGTATATAAATCCTAGATCGGATTTCGATTTCTGGGTTTCTTCAACTCCTTTCAGAGATTTCTCTGCACAGAACGAACAAGAGAAAACTACGTAAGCTTGTCTGCTTCATATCATCCTTATGTATCTTATTTGAGTCCACTTGATGGCTTTAGAGAATAAAGAGTCTTGCTTTGTTGGTTTTAGTGTCAAAGGTTGTTCCTTGATGTTTGTTTCATATAGATTTTGGTTAAAGTCTTTGGCTTTATCTCAGTAACTTAGCTTGTGAAGTCTTTGTACTTTTTTTGGAGTAATGTTGTGTTTTGAGTTAACATGGGAATGTGTGTTTTGAGTGTTCTTGTTACTATCTTGGATGATCCTACATGGAAGCGTTTGGTTTATAGTGATTTTTGGTTGGAATTTGTGGCTTCATCTTAAGAAATTGAGATGTGATTGTAGCTTGTGAAGTCTTTGTGCTTATAGTTGTTGACTAATGTTTTGATTGAACTAACATGAGAGAATGTGTGTTTTGAATGTTCTTGTAGACGATGAATAGAAACCCTATCTTGGATCCTACTCTTCAAGAGATTCTTCAAGTGGTTAAACCCACACGAGCTGATTGGGACATAAGGATCACTGTCCTTGATCAGTTGCGTAATGTCTTACAATCCGTAGAAAGCTTAAGAGGTAATATGTTGTTCTGTTCATGTGACTATCTCACAATACAAATGATTAAATCTGATTCCTATATTTGACTATACTCTGGTTTGGGATTGTTAGGTGCTACTGTTCAACCATTTGGATCCTTTGTCTCAAACCTCTTCACAAGATGGGGAGACTTAGATATCTCTGTGGACTTATTCAGCGGTTCATCCATATTGTTCACTGGAAAGAAGCAGAAACAGACTTTACTTGGACAGCTACTTCGAGCAATGAGAGCTTCAGGTTGAATCTTAAACCTTTTCCTTTCACAGTTTCTGATACTTGTTAATGTCTGATCTCCATTTTCATGCGCCAATCAGGTTTATGGTACAGACTACAGTTTGTAATCCATGCACGAGTTCCAATTCTGAAAGTAGTGAGCGGCCACCATAGAATCTCATGTGACATTTCAATAGATAACCTGGAAGGGCTGTTGAAGAGCAGGTTCTTGTTCTGGATCAGTGAGATAGATGGGAGATTCCGAGACTTGGTTTTGCTAGTGAAGGAATGGGCTAAAGCTCATGATATCAACAACCCGAAGAACGGGACTTTCAACTCTTATTCTCTCAGTTTATTAGTCATCTTCCATCTTCAGGTAAGATTGATCTTCTCAAAGCCGAATCTGAACATAGGCCAGTGAAACGTTGTTTTTGACCCCTAAATTTTTTGGAAATTTTGTGCTTAGGCCTATGAAAAATCTTAATTTTTTTTATTAAAGTTTTAAAAAAATGTGTAGCTCCCAAAATCTCAAATCCAGCCTTGAAGTTATTAAAACATGGTCTTTGGGTTTTGTGTTTGTGTTGTGTTGTTGCAGACATGTGTGCCTGCAATATTGCCACCTCTAGGAGAGATATATCCTAGAAGCGCCGTTGATGATCTGAAAGGTAGCTAAGATAAGGTCTTTGAACCTGAACCACGTAAGCTTTGTGAAGTTTTGGGATAAAAGTAGCAGCATGGTCTCTTCTTGTAGGTGTGAGAAAAACAGCAGAGGAAAGCATAGCGCAGCTTTCTGCTGCTAATATAGCGAGGTTTAAAGCTGGCTCATCAAGATCAGTCAATAGAAGCTCCCTCTCTGAGCTTTTGGTCTCCTTTTTCGCAAAGGTGATTGATTGATTTCTCACATTTTAAACTTGATAGAAAACAGTCTCTTGACTCTGTGGCTGTATATATCAGTTTTCAGATATAAACTTGAAGGCCACTGAGCTTGGTGTTTGTCCATTTACCGGAAGATGGGAAAACATAAGTAACAACACTAGATGGCTTCCTAAGACATACTCTCTCTTTGTAAGTCTCTCTCTTTCTCTTACTCTCTTGTTCACTTAAGTGTCTAAAGTCATTGTGTGTGTGTTTTAGGTTGAAGATCCTTTTGAGCAACCAGAGAACGCAGCAAGGAGTGTGAGCCGTAAGAACTTGGACAGAATAGCACAAGTATTCGAGATGACATCTCGCCGACTCGCTACAGACTCTAATAGAAACTCCATCATTGGAGTTCTAACAGCGCCACACATATCACAGTCTTTAGTCAGAACAACAAACCTCCAAAACCATCATCATCATGCAAACGGTGTGCGCAACAATCCACATAATCTGCAAGGTCAGGCTAGGCCATGGAACAACCAAATGCAGCAGAACTGGTCACAGAACAACAACATACAGAATCCTCCGTACTGGCCAGGACCAGCACGGCCCCGGCCGCAACAGAATTGGTCTCCGAACAACAACGCCAGGAACATGCAGGGACAAGCACCTTACCGAGGCCAAAGGCCGTTAATCACACAAACTCAAACAACGCCTCAGCAGCAGCAGAAGAGTCAGTATAAGAACGGGAAACAACCAATGACAAATGGACCTTCAGGTTCTAGTCAGAATCAGGGTCACATTAATGGAGTGAGCTATGCAAGTGCAAGACCTGGTGCACCGATAAGTCAAAGTCAACGTGGACAGATGTGGAGGCCAAGAGGCTGAGTAGTATTATGAAATTATGAGTTGTGCAGGCTTGGTCCAGAGACTACCTTAACATTATTATTTTGAACTAATATTGTAATTTTTCACCTTGCTGAAAAGTTGTGAGTTTATTTTTTCTTCTTCTATGGATCCTTTGCTCAATCAATGATTAGGTAAAGCTTTACTCAGTAAAACACCAGTCATATTTACAGAGAAGCTAAATTTCATACAAATTGCCGGAATGAAAAGAAATACCCGAAGTTACTTTTAAATTTAATAATATTTTTTAACAGTGTTCGTAAAACTAAAATACTCAATACATAGTGTATTGTGATTGGTTGATAGTCGTGTGGATTTCTCAAATTAACATCATTTTTCTTTGGTGAAAAGTTAACACATCTTTTAGCCATGTGGATTTAAACCGAACCTGACAATTTCCGGTTCATGTTCAACAATTATCATTTTTTGGTTTAGTTTAATAATCGGTTAGTTTGGTTAAAAAAAACAAATTATACTAATTCAACCAAACTCCAAACCAATCAAAATAAAAACTAACTGAAATAACCAAAATCATTTAAATTTTAATCAATTCAAATCGAATAACTAACCATAACCATAACCATAACCAAAACCTTAACTATAACTAGTTCAGTTAAACTGAATTTTCACAAACCGAGCTAACCGAATACAAAACCAAATCCAATCGAATTTATTTTGGTTCAGTTAAACACAACTTCAAACGAATCAAAACTAACCAAAAATCGAATCAACCAAACCAAACCAAACCCCGAAGTTCTAGGTATCATCACCATTCTACAAAACATAATTTTATTTTATTTTCAAAAATCAACAAATCTCTCAAATAACCGACGACGACCATGACCATCACCACCACCACAACCACTCTACATCCCAATCCCGATTCCTTCTCAACAACCGTAATGGAGACGGTGAACGGATCACACCAATTCACAATCAAAGGCTACTCTCTCGCCAAAGGAATCAGCCCCGGGAGATACATAGAGAGCGACGTCTTCTCCGTCTCCGGATACGACTGGGTGATCTACTTCTACCCCGACGGGAAGAATCCCGAGGAGAACTCGACGTACGTGTCTCTCTTCATCGCATTAGCGAGTGATTCGAGTGACATTAGGGCCTTGTTTGAGCTGACGTTGATGGATCAGAGTGGGAAAGGGAGGCATAAGGTTCATAGTCATTTTGATAGGGCCCTTGAAGGTGGGCCTTATACTCTTAAGTATAAAGGGAGTATGTGGTAATATTGTCTTAATCTTTTTACTCACTTCTTTTACTTTTTTTTTTTTTTGTGTGAGAGATGGAAAAATGTATTTTGAGGAATGCTTAGTAAGTAGAAAATTTGAGAGATTTGAAACCAAATCCGAACCGAAAAAAGCTGAATTGATATCTGATCCGAGGTGTTGTATAAAATGTATTTGAATCCGAAGTGTTATTAACTGAACTCTCGAACTGTTGCATGGATAACCTGAAAACCCAGAGTTAGCATTCAAACATTAAATAAGCAATTCAAATACTCAGTTTCATGTTTGTTTTGATATGATATCTAAAAAATGCGAAAATGAGTTTTGGAAAAACTATAAAAATATATCAAAACCGAAAGTATTGTTAACCGAAACCTGAATGAAGTCTAGGAGGTTGAATCGATAACCGAATAAATCAAAATCCGAACGAGTACCAGAATGCCCAGGCCTAAGTGTGAAATCCTACCCGAACCCGAACTGGTAACAGAAAGTCCATGTCTAGTGAGAGCTTTTTTTATGTGCATGCTGGTTTTGAAGTTATTGTAAATCCTTAATTGGAACTCTTTCTTGTGCATCATTTTCAGGGGTTACAAGCGCTTTTTAAGAAGAACAGCTTTAGAAGCATCTGACTACTTAAAGGATGATTGTCTTATCATCAACTGTACTGTTGGTGTTGTCAGAGCTCGCCTTGAAGGTCCTAAACAGTTCGGCATTGTGCCACCACCATCAAATATGGGCCAGGGATTGAAAGACTTGTTAGATTCTGAACTTGGTTGTGACATTGCTTTCCAAGTCGGAGATGAGACTTACAAAGCTCACAAACTGATCCTCGCTGCACGGTCGCCGGTTTTTAGAGCTCAGTTCTATGGACCAGTTGGGAATAACAATGTGGGTAGAGTAGTCATAGAGGACATGGAGCCTTCTATCTTTAAGGTAACGTGGATTTGTTAGTTGTAATTGCAGCTTAATTTTTTACTGACTTGGGATTTTTGAAATTTTTGTAGGCTATGCTTAGCTTCATCTACACTGATGTACTTCCTGATGTGCATGAGATTACAGGGTCAACTTCTACCGCTTCATTCACAAATATGATACAACATTTATTGGCAGCTGCTGATCTCTATGACCTTGGAAGGTTAAAGATATTATGTGAAGCTTTTCTGTGTGAAGAACTGAATGTTGATAATGTGGCAACAACACTTGCTCTAGCTGACCAACACCAGTTCTTACAGCTCAAAGCCTTCTGTTTAAAGTTTGTTGCATCTCCAGCAAATTTGCGAGGTATCTGTTGCTTATATATATCTTGATCAGTAAAATATGGATATGTTTTTTTTTTCAAATATGGTGGAATTTTGATTATGCGAAACAGAGTAATATTACTTGAAAGATATTAAAGTGGTGATGTGGTTTTGGTGCAGCCGTGATGAAGTCTGAAGGGTTTAAGCACTTGAACGAGAGCTGTCCCTCTGTGTTGCCTGAGTTGCTGAACACGGTTGCAGCAGCGGATAAGAGCTCGACGTCGAGTGGACAATCAAGCAAGAAAAGAAGTGTGAGCAGTGTGTTGGGCTGTGATACAAGCACTACCAATGCGAGGCAAGTGAGGAGGACGTAGGTTCGATTCTAAGTCCAAGTAGAGCTTTAATATGATGATACTTTTAATTACATGGAAGCAAAGCATTCACAAAAATTGTTTTGCTAAGACTTTTTATTTGTAGTGAAATAATTGTTTGTAGTTATGTCTACAGTAGTGTAAAGCTTTAGGCAAATGGGACTAAAAGCTTTGGATTTTATTAGATTAAAAGCTTTGGAGTTGATCTTCTTTTTGTTGAGTATTTCATCTTTAAAAAACTCACCATTGTGTCTTTGTTTTCTCGGAAAAGCTGCCGTGAGAAGCAAGTTTTTTGTTTGCATTCTTGTGAAAGTGGGTTAATAAGTAATTAGTACAACCTGTGTTTGATTTTAGATGGCAGCCTATGAAAAAATATGGTCCTAGGCCCAAATTCCATTTATACAGACTAGTCATTTATAACATGATATAATCATATAATATCATTATTTAAGTGATTGATCTGTGGGCTAAGTCTGTGGGACAAAGCTGAAATCAAGAGGCTGCCTAACTCTTCACTTCATGAGGTTGCTTTGGTGTATTTCCACTACTTCTTTTGGCACTTTTCACATTTTCTTAAATCGTTTGACTTTTCTATAATGCTATTTTATGTTCAATTAGAACCAATCAAGTTTATAAATGGTCTGGTTTTGTGATTGTGTGCATATGGTAGAGAAGCCGCGCTTCTTTGTTAGCGGCGCGTTTGATGGTGGCGTGTATATGTCAAAATGGAAGATGCTTTTAACCTTAGATCTATTGCCAAAATAATATCTTAGTTTATGCATATATAACAATTTATATTTGGTACGTAATATAATATCGTCAAAGCGTAATCTGATTTGAATATTTTGACAAAGTGGAAATATATAGTCTTGAATCGTTGTGGTTATTTGATGTGATTATTTCTCCTTAAACATTTGAACGGCTAATATTTATTTATTTTCAGTTCAGTCAACAATGAGATTTGTGAGAAACCGTGAGACCTCTTGATTCCTTTTAGTTGTATTCTTTGTGCAAAGTGTTTTTCTCCTTCGATTTTTGGGCACATATTCACGTTGTAGTGTTTTTTATAGAGGGTTTTAAATTAGTTAAAAGCTATGAAGTAGTTGATGAAAAAGTCTGGAGTCATCGTTGAAACGATGATAACCAAGAGATTTATAAACATACATTCGTGTGATTAATACATAGTAAGCTTATATAACCTAAGTGATGAAGCTACATGTATAACACTATAACCGTACCATATAATACATTCATACGCTGATATAATAAAAACACACTTAAAACCTAATGATGAATAAATCAGTTTCTTTTAAATTCTTAATATACACTACGATCTTTATTAAATCAATTATCAAAAACATTAACAAAATAAAAGGTAATGTGTCGGTTGCACCACTATATTTATAAAATTCAAAGTATTAAAGGAGAAAAAAAGCCAAAGGTAAATTGTCATATCGCGTGTGGAAGAAGGTAATCTCAAAAATATTCGCATCGACTGAAAATTGTAAGGTAGAGACAAGCAAACATGAATAATTGGAAATAGACACTAGGGAATGTGATTCATGTGATGTATAGATCAAATTGGGTAGTATTATTTTTATCTCTTTAGTGTCACAGCTTCGTTCTTATCCAATAGATTGGCCCGCATTACAGAGACATTACACAATATGCATTATTTTAATATTCTTGCTAAGTGCATGCTGCATATCGCAATAGAATCTGCATATTCTTAAGAATGTAGCGTACCAAATCTATTAGGTTTTTACATTAGTATACTCAGCTTAGTTTGTAACAGTTTCCTATCTATGTTTTTCTTGATTTATTTGGAATGTTCTTTTCTTTTGATGTCGGGAAAAGAGTAGAAAACATTTTTTGGTTCCATGTCCAAAATATATCGGGTTTCAATAGACTATTTAATGCCATGTTCGATCGATTCTTCATTATATTTATATGAATGTCAGATTAAGTAGTCCATGAGTACTAAATTTTATTAGAATGTGTGTTCTGGCACTGTCATAATGAATGCCACTCATGTGTTAAAACGTTGTTTTGATACTAAGTGACGACAAAATATACATCTTAATTGATCGATAAAGAAAATGTTTTACACCACAGACATACACATCGATACTGAAAAGTTAGTGTGTGGAATGAAAATACTAACTACCAACATAAAATCTTCCTTACCACAAAACAGGAATTTCAATAAATATCTACAAAGAATATTAGTGATGATATAACAATCTCTATTATAATTGTCTTTCTAGGTCATTCTTGTCTTGGAACTTTAGGGATTTATGGACTTCTACAGATTTATTCTTAATTTTGGATGTTGCAAGCCGACTCCTCTCAGATTTCTCTCTTAGGAGATTAGATCTTCTTGTGATGTGTTAAGTCTTTGTTAATGGCGGAAAGTCTTCCCTAAAAATGAGTATGTTAAATTCTTTTTGGGTTTAGGTTATAATTAAATACATCATTTCTAAATCAAAATTTTTATGTAACTGTAAAACAACTATACATTAAGTTTGAAATATATCAAAATCACTCTTATTTAAAGTATATAAAATGTTGTATACATTTTAGCTGTGACACACATGCTAGGATTGAGTTATCACATATTCAGTTTCATACTATGCAAGCTTTTTAGTCAAAATTTATAATAAATTTTAGTAACAATTTATAATAAATTTTAGTAACATTTATAATAAATTTTAGTCAAACCTCATATCAGTCGTTAGTTAAATTCTTAGTGACAAATATAGAACTGTTTTTCATGGTAAAGATTTCTACTCAACAAAAGTTGTATAAATAGAGTACCTCTTGAAGATCTAGACAATTATAAAATTCACTTTTATGTTGTATATCAAAGTAATAGTAAAAGAAACACAATGGCTTTTACAAAATCATCTGTGACTCTTTTTCTTATAATAATGATGACAATTTCATTTTCAAATGATAGAGCTTGGGCCAGGCCAGGTAACTTTTTATTGTTTAACTATCTTTGATCTTTTAGGAGCAATGGTTGCATAATTTCTTTAGAATTTTCATAAACGAGTTACGTGTAATAGTTTTATAATTATATTCATCAAGTCTTACAAACATACTTGGGCTGTGTATTTACAGGGATCAAACAAGGGGAAGGTGAAACTTGCATTGGGTCATGTGAGGCACAGTACGGGAATAGGCAATGTGATGAAGATTGTGTAGCTCAGCAGTATTCAGGAGGAGAATGTGCTCTTATTTCAGGAGAAGCGACACCACCACAATGTTGTTGTTTCAAATGATAGATAGTTAACGATACTCCTATCGATTAGCCATTTGAGCATTACGGCTTTCTCTTGCCACACTTTACAAGATGTAATATGTTACTTTACTATATTTTGAAACTGAATCCACTGAAATTATAATGCAAGTACTATTTGTCAAAAATTATAATGAGAGTATACACAGATGAAGTAACTGAATCTAAAAGTTATGAATGACTACATAAAATTATGTACCATACTCATTATATACCAATGTTTCTTTACAACTAAAGGTTAAATTGAATTAAAATTAAATACAATAGACGTAAGAGATAAAAAGTTGTAAAATAACAAATATAAAATATTTTTGAGTATATAGAAAATGAATATTTTCTATCTTGTCATTTCCTTTTTTTCATTTGGAACTGCAAATTCATATTTTTATTATCATTTATGAAAAGATTTTCATATAAATTAAAAAGTTATACTCCTTCAAAAACTGACCATTCATTATATTAGTAATTAGTAACATAATCGAAAAGAAAAAGAAAAAATAATCGAAGTATTGGTTGTTTAATAACAAACAAAAAAAGTTTGGTTCAGTTTAGTTTTGAATTTAATACATCAAATTCTAAATAAAATTCTTCTATAACTGTATAACAACTAAACTATACACTAAATTTGGAAGAATTTTTTTTTGAAACACTAAATTTGGAATGTACCACTTATTTTCATTTGAAGTATATAAAATGCTGTAATTTGTAAACACTTAATTGTTGGCACTCATGCTAGAATTTAGTTATCATGACCGACTCAATATTATACTCCCTCTGTTTCATTATAAGTGTCACTCTACAGCTGTGCACACGGATTAAGAAAACAATTAATTTTACATATTTCCTATATAAAAACACAATTACCCGTACACCTAACCATATTTTAACCAATAGGAAAACAAATTACATAATAAAATTAATAAATTTTGCATTGAAAACCGAAAACGACACTTATTTTGTAAAGCAAAAAAATCTCTACAATGACACTTAATATGAAACGGAGGGAGTACAAGGTAAGCTATTATTATTAAAAAGGAATTAATTTCTAGTCAAAATTTATAAACATTTTTAGCCAAACCTCATATCAGTGGTTGGTCAAAGTCAATGTCATAAATATAGAATTGTTTTATATGATAAAGACTTTTTTTTTTTTTGTGGTAAAGAGTTTTACTCAGCAAGGAGTTGTATAAATATATAGAGTACCTCTTGAAGCTCTTATACAACTGTAAAATTTCAGCAGTAAAAGAAATACAATGGATCTTACAAAGTCATCTGTGACTCTTTTTCTTATAATAATGTTGACAGTATCGTTTTCAAATGATAAAGTTTTGGCAAGGCCAGGTAACCAATTGTTTTTGTTCAATTATTCTTTGATCTTTTTAAGAGCAATGGTTGCGTAATCTCCTTAGAACTGGGATAAACCAATAATGTGTAGTATTTTTGTATAACTATTTTCAACAAATGTCTTACAAACACACTTGGGTTGTGTACTTGCAGGGATCAAACAAAAGGGGGAAGGTGTAACTGTAACTTGCATTGAGTCATGTACGCGACAGTACGGAAATAGGCAATGTTTTATAGATTGTACTGCTCATCATTACTCAGGAGGAGAATGTGATTTTGTTCCAGGAGGTGCAAAATTACCACAATGTTGTTGTTTCAAAAATGTTCGATAGAAATTGATCCTATCTATTATCGATTTGAGAATTACGGTTCTCTTACCATATACATTAAAGGATATATTGTGTTACTTCTCAATTTTTTGATACTGTATCCAATGAAATGAAAGGAATATCAAGCAAGATTGACAAAGTTCTATTTGTCAAAATTATGAACAGAGTTTACTCAAAAGTAATTCAGTGATTAAAATTTAATTTAAAAGTATACATGATTTCAGAAAAATATGTACATACTCATTACATACCAGTGCTTCTTTACAACTAAAGTTTAAACTGAATTTAAAATTAAATTACAATAAAAAGTTTTAAATAATAAATCGTAATATAATACAACATTTTGCGTTTCCTCTTTTTCATTTAGAACTGCAAATTCATGTTCTTATTATCATTTATGAAAAGCATTTTCATATAAATTAGAAATTTACACTCCTTATAAAACTGACCACTCATTAATTGTATTAGTAAATACAACCAAAACACGAAAGGAAAGAAAAATAATCAAAGTATTGGTTGTTTAATAAGCAAAAAAAAAGATTGGTTTTTGTTCATTCTAAAAAAAACGACTGGTTTTCATGTACTCCAAAATCAACAAAAAAATTGGTTCAAAGTTTGTATAAACATTTGTTAAATCATGTTTTAAAAAAAAAAAACACTTCAAGCATGTGTAAAATTATATAAGAAAGTGTTGAAAACGTTAAAATATAATAAAGCTCAGCAGGAGAAAACAAAAGAAATAATAATAACATTAAAATGGGGTTTGACCGGTTCAGAAGAGATGGCCAAACCAAAAAGAAGGTTTGGGATTTGGTAAACATCTACTATACGCGAGGTTGGACCTTTACTTCTCCACCCAGAAAACAAAGTCAAACTAACATGTTAATTTTTTTTTACAATATGGTTTTTATTTCTTTCTCAAAAAAATATGGTTTTTATTTTAATTATTGAAATACGCATTCTTTTCGTTATCGTCAAGGTGTATATATATAAACCAAAGAGATGTCCTTTTGATAAATAACTTGCCTTATCATTCATTCATCACAGCTCAGCCTGACCCCCAAAACTCTCTCAAGACTCTGAAACCGATTCTGATCTCAGATCTGTTAGATCTCTTCCAAAGGTAAATGCTTTAAAAGTTTCATACTTTGCTCTCCATGTGAATGCATGTTTCTCTGAGTTTCTGCATTTTGTTTTTGTCTGATCTGGGTTTTAAGCTTAGATTAATTTTATCATGTTAGTCTGACGTGATGTGCAGCGTAAACAGCTGTTGGGTTTAAGCAGATGATGTTTTGTCTGATTTATTAGCTGAATTTTGGGATACAAGTGTTTGCTTTGTTCTTGATTTAGATTTCTTTTGTGTTTTTATTATGTTAGTGAAGATATCCAACATTTTTTTACAGCAGTTTGATCTGAGCTGTCTGATAAAGTATTTGAATTTATGGTAAAGGTGTTTACTTTATTTGATTTATGTTTTATTTTCGGTGTATTGTTTTTGATCCATTGTGTGTGTTCTGTGGATCTCAATTCATTGACCTTTGTTGTTTTGCTTCATCTGTATCCACGTTTATTTGTGTAGATGCTCTGTTTCTAGCATTTAGACTTTAGTTTATTTCACCTTCTTGTCTTTAGTCAACTCAACGAACGTTATGGATTCCACATTGTTAAGATCTGACGTTAGCATTTACAGGAAAAAAAGAAAGAGTTTAAGTAGCATCAAGATGAAGGCACTCATTCTCGTTGGAGGGTTCGGAACTCGCTTGAGACCATTGACTCTAAGTTTCCCAAAGCCGCTTGTTGATTTTGCTAACAAGCCAATGATCCTTCATCAGGTAACTACTACTACAATCACATTCTTCTCTTACATGTTAAGGTTCTGCTAGTTAACCACTTCATCATGAATGTTTATAGATAGAGGCGCTTAAGGCAGTTGGAGTTGATGAAGTGGTGTTAGCCATCAATTACCAGCCAGAGGTGATGCTTAACTTCTTGAAGGACTTTGAAGCAAAGCTCGAAATCAAAATCACTTGCTCACAAGAGACTGAGCCTATGGGTACTGCTGGTCCTCTAGCTCTAGCTAGAGACAAACTGATTGACGGATCTGGAGAGCCTTTCTTTGTCCTCAACAGTGATGTCATCAGTGAGTACCCACTCAGAGAAATGATTGAGTTTCACAAAGCTCATGGTGGTGAAGCCTCTATTATGGTCACAAAGGTGAGACTTGTCTGATCTAATATATGGGACTTGTATGTTTGTTTGTCTGTTCATCTAATATGAACTTGTGTTTATAGGTTGATGAGCCGTCGAAATATGGAGTTGTGGTGATGGAAGAAACAACAGGAAAGGTGGAGAAGTTTGTGGAGAAGCCAAAACTGTATGTAGGCAACAAGATCAACGCTGGGATCTATCTTCTAAACCCATCTGTTCTTGACAAGATTGAGCTAAGACCAACCTCAATAGAGAAAGAGACTTTCCCTAAGATTGCAGCATCTCAAGGGCTCTATGCAATGGTGCTACCAGGATTCTGGATGGACATTGGACAGCCTCGTGATTACATAACGGGTCTAAGACTCTACTTAGACTCTCTGAGGAAGAAATCTCCTGCTAAGTTAACCACTGGTGCACACATTGTTGGGAATGTTCTGATTGATGAAACAGCTAAGATTGGGGAAGGGTGTTTGATAGGACCAGATGTAGCTATTGGTCCAGGGTGTGTTGTTGAGTCAGGGGTTAGGCTGTCACGGTGCACAGTGATGCGTGGGGTAAGGATCAAGAAGCATGCGTGTGTCTCGAGTAGTATCATTGGGTGGCATTCAACGGTTGGACAGTGGGCTAGGATTGAGAACATGACGATCTTAGGGGAAGATGTTCATGTGGGTGATGAGATTTATACTAATGGTGGAGTTGTTTTGCCACATAAGGAGATCAAATCCAACATCTTGAAGCCAGAGATAGTTATGTGATAAAAATCTATGTTGGAACTTTTGTGTGTGTGTTTTCAGGCTTTTCATTCTTTCTCAACTTTGTGCTTTTGTTTATTCTTATTGGCTTGAATAAAGTAATTAAAAAAAAACTAAAATGATGTATATTTTGTTTCTTAGGGTTTTATGGCATTTGGTGGTTATGTCTCTATAACTTGTCAAACTGTTCTCAATTATTTGAAGTTTTGTAACTTATCAAAACAGTTCTCATATAATTTTTTTTTTAATATTTGCCCTTCTTCCGTGTTAGCATAGGCACTGCCCTTATAAATACACTCTTTACAATGCATTTACTTAGAAACTTGTTGCAGAGTTCTTCACTTTATGTA